CTTGACGGCTACCAGTCAACCGAAATTCTATGAAACGGCTACTGGTCAGCCGAAACAAGTCAGACGGATAGCAGTCAGCCGGAAACACCGTCGACCGGAAACCAGTCAGCTGTCTACTGACGAAGGTGTGAACAAGACGGCGAGATCTCACTGCCGTTTATATGCTGTGTGATCAATCGAGAAATCGTTCAGTCAACAATAGGACGTCCGTCTACGGCCAGCTCTGTCTGTCGCTGGCCTCCTAACAGATTAATGATACGCGAAAATAGCGACGGAAAAAACCACAGTCCCTGTCGTTTATCAAGTTATTGAACCATTACACTCACTTCGCCACCTCACACTCCTTTTCTCCGTGGCTGGTCAGTGACGTGCATTGCCTAAATTTCATTCCAGTTTACAAATTATACGACGACAGGCTTCGATCATCGGACAAACGAACGGCCAAACGGTAAAATCATAACCTCTTCCCTCTTGTGACGATGCCACTAAGCTGCTAGTTCACCACTTAGCGACTGGCGTGCTGAGCTACGCCTCGTGCTTAGGGAATCAGGATCTAGGCTGGCCTTGCTTGGGAATTTTGCTTGGGGGTTGGGGGGATCCAGTGTAGCCGTCGCTACGGTACTGCACTTCGAGATTGTTGAGCCTGCTGGAGTACTTCGGGCTGCGGGGGAGGTTAGGTTCCAGAAAGCGCGGAAAGTCGCCGAAGAGATCCAGGCTGAAATATAGAGCCGTGTACTCGTAACGCTATGTTTTGAAGTCTTCAATTTTATCTACTAAAGGTGCTTGGGGGTGGCAATCGGTAAAGAATTTTCCGGCATTCCTTACTGCGTGCTTCGACACCACGTACAGAAGCAGCCATTGTTCGCCCATTACTGCTAACAGGGCTTTGCCATTTTTCGCGCGCACTATTCACCAAACCGCGCACCGATGGCCTGGCCGTGTCGGCCTACGCTTCAGGGCTAGCCCCGAGCCTCGATGCCAGTGTCGCACTAGCTAGCTCACACTCTCAAGAGTATGCACAACGGAATGCTAGGAATAGAAACGGATGGGATACAAATATGCAACCCTAAAAACTGTATTCTTTATAAGGCATCCCATTACAGCCTGCAAGAGTTAATATAGTTTGACCAGGGCTGATGATTCAAATATGGGTACCCTGTTTTCAATCCCCCAAAAAAATATTTACCCTGAAGGCACATTTTCCGAAAAACGCCAAGCCTGAGCCTTCTTGCGATGTTCAGGGTTCACGAAATCGTAAGTCTGGGCTGTCAGGGTTGGCGGATTGAATTCAGGGTTGAATTTTTACTTCTTTCTAGTTTGGCGAGAAAAGCAATGACGTGTTTGACACGAGAAATCTAGCTGGATTGGCGGTTTGGCTGGAGGGAGTGCATGGCTTGGGAGGGAGGATCTCCTAGGGGCACAGGGGCGAGAGCGAGGGGTGTGCAAAGGGGGAGGGAGCAAGTGAGTGGGATGGGTGGGGGTGGGGCTATTTCATGACCGCGGGTCGTCCGCACAAAGCACCAGCTGTTTTTGAAGGGCCTGGACTGCCTCCAACCTGCGTGATATTGCCACAGATAGAGTGTATTCAGATATCGCAGCAGGTGCTGTGTGCTTTGCTCACGTGTTGGCATTCGCTGCCACCTCGGAGGTGGGTGTATCGAAAAGAATTTTCGAGGAAGCTTCCTCCCGATAAACTCGCATGCAGGGACCACAGAACGCATACTCTGTAGTGACAGACTCCAGAAATGACTAACACTTAGGCCTATTACACTGAATCAGGGGCCATAAAACAATAACTCTGAGGCTCTCAGTGATGAAAATTTGACTACTCTGGAATTCCATTTTTCACAAACTCGATGGTCTGATCCGTCAGACTAATCAGACTATTTACTCTGATAGCGTCAGCCCTGAGTTTGACACACCCCTATAGGCTAAGTGAGGGGTATGAAGGAGACAAACAAGTGACAGCAGATGGTCACAAGACCAGTCAAGAGCAAGCAACAAAACAAGGCTCAGGGAGACGCTCAAAGTCACCACACACTCCGAGCACAAACAAGCGCTCATAAGGCCAGTTTATATAGCAAAGCAAAAACAACTGAGCCAATAGCAAGACTACATCAACCAAGGGCCTACCTCAACAAGCCCTAGATGCACACTGAACATGTGGTGGTCACAAGGCGCTAAGGCCTTCGTGAAGACGTCGGTAGTGTTGGCCTCTCCGGCCACAAAGTCGAAGCATGCCTGGTCGCGTCGCTGTAACTCTCGCAGGAGAAGGTACCTCACGTCAATGTGCTTCACTCTGCTCTCCAGTCGAGGCTCTCGACACAGGAGGATCATTGCCTTGTTGTCAGCATACAAGGTCGGTGCAGAGCGAGGCCAGTGACCAAGGTCGGCGAGCAAGAAGGTCAATCAGCGAAGCTCCTGTGCCGACATGGCACCAGCGTAGATCTCTGCCTCTGCACTGGACGAAGCCACAGACGGCGACCGTGTAGACCTTCACGACACAACACCAGCACCCAGGCTGAATTAGCCCTGCGTCGAATGCTGTGTCTCTACGTCGTCAGCGTACCAAGAGTCGCACTGTCTGGTTGGCTGAGTCCCTCTAAGCACAAGCCCCATGCCTGATGTAGTCGCCAGGACTTCGCCACCTTCACAACAACTTTCCAGTAAACATGACGGTGTCTCCCAGTCGCAACAAAACGGGAGAGGACGCTGAGGGGAAAGGCGAGGTCCGGCCGAGTACAAGTCATCAGATACATGAGGTAGCCCACAAGCTCTGCATAGGGACTATTAGACTCAAAGGGCTTGTTGGAAAAGGGGCCAGTAAGTCTGTGGTCAACAGCAAGAGGAGTAGGGTGGGTGGTGGAGAACTGAAACTCGAACCACTGAAGGACCAGCAAGAGGAGGTCTGTGACTGCGTCAATGTAATGGTGCGAGCGGTTATGTCCCTGGTGATCTGCAGGCCAAGGTAGCGCTGCGGTTCACCGAGGTCAGTGCATATGTGTCTCTTCTGCAGTTCGGACTTCACCTCAGCCAGAGCTGCCATGTCTGCTGTAGCAAAGACCAAGTCATTGACGTAGACAAGTATAAAGAAGGGAGTGGAACCAGCGTGAACAAACAGCGACGGGTCAGCTGAAGAAGGACGGAACCCAAGGTCACAAAGCGTGGAACGAAGAGAGTCGTGCCACTCACGGGGCGACTTGCGGAGACCGTAGACTGGTCGCTCCAGGCTCCACTGGGTCCCAGGTGGGAAGGTTTCAGGGAAGCCAAGAGGTTGCCGCAGCCAGATCTCCTCGTGTAGGCAGCCCTGGAGAAACGCAGTGGAGAAGTCGAGGGAGTGCACCTCGTAGTCTCGTTGTGCTGCTACGTGCAGTAACACTCAAAGAGTAGTCATCTTCGGGGTTGGGGCGAAGGTCTGGAATATGTCAACTCCCTCACGCTGACTGAAACCCCTAGCCACGTAGCGCGACTTGAACATAGGCGGTGGTGATCCATGCGGCCGCTTCACCTTGAAGAGCCACATGCCATCGACAATGTTCGCCCTAGAAGGGGGAACTAAGTCGACGTAGGTGCCTGTGGATCTCCAAGACGCTTACTCTTAGTCCATAGCCGCTTTGCACTAAGAGGCCCACTCCACTGACACTGCCTCACGGTACGTGCGAGGAGTCGGAATGTCAAGGGCGTCAGGATCTCCCTCAAGGGAAAGCAGCATGGCACAAAGAGAGGGAGAAGCAGCTGCCAAGAACTCCAACTCAAACTGCTTGTGCTCTAGGACATCACAGCCAAGGGCAAACTCACCCCAGGTGGACAGAGGACGGGCAGGCGGAGCAGCCACTACACGCGTGGCAAAGTCAATCCGGTGGGTAGAAGCTAAGTCAGCGACAGCGGCAGTAAGAGCCGAGACTGACGACGGAGAGGTGCGAGGGTCGGTGACAAGAGAGGCAAGAACATGCGAGACAACTGGACGAGCAGCACGGTAGTAGTCGGTGATAGGGTGAGAGGAGACAGTGAGAGTCGACGCAGGAGGTGCAGGAGAATAGACACAGGCGGAGCACGACGGTGACTAGAACGAAACAAGATAGTGCGGAGGTTGTCAAAAGGAGACGAGGGACGAGCACACGGATTACAACAAGTGGTCCAGACGTGCGGGAGAACATGAGGAGTCGACTATGACTAAGAAAGGGAGGAAACTACTGAAGCCAAGTCCAGAGGAGGAAATGTAGGGGATTGTGAGTGGACAGGAGGAGAGGAGGGAAGACCAAAGGCCCGAAGGCCACTCACTGGTGGGAACAACTGCTGCAAAAGTGGCGGCTATGGCTAAGGCTGCTGCTGGTGCGGCTGCTGCTGGTGCGGCTGCTGCCCCATTTTGGCGATATTTATGACCAAGCCAATGCGGCGCTTAGCAACCCCATTCTGCTGTGGGGACTCTGGAAGCGTCCAAGACTGTGAGGTGCCCTGTTCGCCGCAGAATCCGCGAAGAATGCCGGAGCAAAACTCGCCCCCACGGTCGGAGTGGAGATAGGAGACATGACGACCACGAATGCTCTAAGTGGTGTGGTTGTGAAAGAAACATTGAGACGCACCTGAGTCCAACGTGAAGAAGTGCAACGCGACAACTATCATGGCTGGACTAGTGACTACACAAGCACCTACACTAAAAGCACATGTAACGACACTAGCAACAGGCAAAGGTCTTAAGCTAGGTACACGCAAGCCAAGAGATCCATACGTGATACTGTAGAATAAGTAGCATCCATAGATATCAAACACAGGGTAACGACTACGAGACGGACCAGGCGAGATCGGTGGCCTCGTCTCAGGCCCAAAACGCTTACGGTATTGGTTGTTGAGGCGGCTGTAGCAGCATTGTGCAGAGTGGTCAGGACACCAGCAGGTAGTGGCAGGACCAGGGCCAGTCAAGATCCGGTACTGGTAGGGGCCGACGTCGCGGCCACTACGACGAGCCCCCCAGCTGGCTGGGCCGCTGCTGCAGCCAATGA